CTCCTCAAAGAATTAAGTGTCTGGAAATCATCTATGAAGATGAAAGGTCCATTGGCAGAGCCCAGTTTTCAACAAAAACAGCCCTCTCTTGTATCTGGGGATCTGCCTGTCAAGAAGTACAGGATGTCCCTAGGGGCATGTTTTTCACTTGCAAGTTAATATTTCCTTTTCCCTCCATCTCATGCAGGAGATGTCATGTCCTGCTCTGCAGGATGTTCTCCCCTTCTGGCCACAGTGGATCTTCATTCTGACATTAGAAGTGATTTGGCTGTGCCTGACATTTTTGTTACCAGTGCCAGGTTGTCCCAGGTAAGACTGCACTCAGACTGCTTTCTGTGGGGCATCATACTAAGTATTTTCTGTGTGGGAGGAGAAAAAACAGTTAAAGGGATAGGACAAAGATGAAAGCTCTAAGGGCAGCAGGCCAAAGGGAAGAATTTATCATATAAAAGAAGCTTTTACTTTGGTATTAAAATAACTGGGGTGAAAAGGTGACATCATTGCTTCTGTCAGTAGAAGAGGCTTACAGTCTTTCTCAGGCCTTTGTACAGCAATATACAATCATCACAACATCATCTCGAGTCCTGGGTCAGCGCCTGTAGAGGAGGTAGAGCAGCCAGCTAGACAGCCAGGGCTGAACTGAAGCTTTGCTTTAGGTTCCTGCCCATACCCTTGAGACCAGCTGTCACACAGGACCTGCATTTCACTGTGTGCCTGCCTCTGGCCAGAGAGGATAGCTAGCATCAATGCTCTAACTTGTTTGTTTCTGTCCTAGGGGCTATCTTGGTCCTGGGGGCATTGGAGATTTTGGAAACTATCCTAACTGCACTGGAGGAGCAGCTGGTTACATTGATCGTTTGGTTCTTGGAGAAAAGCATATATATCAGCATCCCTCTTGCAATGTAAGTAGGTTTTGGTCCGCAGTATGAAGCTGCAGGCTGCCACCAAGTGCAGCTGTGAGGAGGTGCTTGGGAAAGATGTGTGTGCTGAAGAGGAGGCTGGAAAAGAAAGGATACTGGTTGCTTGGTTACCTTGTAATAACTGCTCTCTGTTTAAGGTGCTTTACCAAACAACAGTGCCATATGATCCTGAAGGGATCCTGGGGACCATAAATACCATTTTAATGGCATTTCTGGGACTGCAGGTACCTTTTTTTTTTTCTGTGTGTTGCATGGGAAAATTTGAGAGCATCTTGGAAGTGGGGAGGCAACTTGTTTTACTTGTGATTGAGACTGGCTCTAACAAAATCTTTTCTAGAGCAATGCTTTCAGGCCACATAGCCTAAGGTGGGTATCAAAGAAGTGGAATCTAACCTTGAAAAGCAACATGAGCTCTGAGCAGGCTGGGATGGATACAGTGCCAAGAAACTGTTTGGCCTGGTCAGGGAGTCAGCATCAGTTTGTTCCTTTGTGCATTCCCTTGCTGAGGGTTGGGAGGTGGAGTCTGAGTCATAGTGTTGTCCTAACAAAGTTGCTCATCCCATTCTTCAGTATTAACAGAGTAGAAAAGGGATATGAGGGGTACCTCTGCTGCTGAGTAATTTGCATTTAGGTATTTCTCCCATCTGTGTATGTTCTTTGCAAAGTTTCAGTTTCTCAGCCTTTCAGACACTTAGCTGATATAAACCGTTTTGTGTCCTTTGCCTTAGCACAGGGAGCCTGTAGCCAATGCAATTACATTTTGAGAGCCAGATATATTTGCAGGCCTTAATTCGCTTTTTGTATTCTGCTTGTACTAGGCGGGAAAAATTATCTTGTCATACAAAGACCAGCACAAACAGATTATGAGCCGGTTCTTAGTCTGGAGCTTAGTAATGGTAAGCTATTTCACCTAGTGTGGTCTAAGTATTACTGGGTAGCTTTTTAATCGACTTGTCTTGTTCAACACAAACTGTCTGAAATGTTGCAGTGGTTATATAAACTTTAGTAACTTTTTTATTGCAGGGAATTATTTCTGCTATCTTGACAAAATGTTCTAAAGAAGAAGGGTTTATTCCCATAAACAAGAATTTATGGTAAGCTGAGAGCTTTTAGTATGAGTTTCTTAAAGTATTATTTTACCAGTTTTCCCTTTCTTGTATTGTGATCTGTATGGACCACTTACCTCTCTAACCTCCTATTGAAAATGTTCATAGGTCGACATCATATGTGACAACCATGAGCTGCTTTGCCTTCATCCTCTTATTGCTGATGTATTACCTTGTGGATGTCAAGAGACTGTGGTCAGGTACTCCATTTTTCTACCCAGGTCAGTGAAAGCACAGCAGGAAACACATTCCTTCCAGTTCTTTCTGAATTGTTCTGTTTCTGTACCTCCTTTGCCTTCGAAGGAGCTGAGATTTTGAATGAGGTACCTTGAAGGAGGTCAAAATGGTTAGCTTGAGCTGAATTTTTGCACAGAACTTAGAGACTAGACTGGAAATGTAAGGGAGATGGACTGCCAGTATTTAAACAAGGACTGGAAGCTGCTGCTGCCACATGATTGTTTTAAGTTTCATCTTGAGTTCAGAGAGCAGCTGCCTAGCACCAAGCAAAATACCGCAGCTGGCTCGCAGTTGGTTTGGAGAGGACTGCAGAGACTTTGCTAACTTAGTGGGAAACTCAAAGGCCTGTCAGCAGAGTACTACCACTTCTGAAGATGTGGAAAACAAAATCCCCTGGGCAGCCACATAGGTTCTCTCTGTGTTTTTAGATAAGCCTGTCTCCCAAAGCATCCCGTTGTGGTTTTAACCACACTGGGCTCGTGACAAACATTTGAGGACAGAGACAGAGTGCAAACCCACAGCATGGGGAACATTTATTCAGCTTTGGTATCTGGACAGGAAGATGGGTAGAGTAACAGCATGGTATCATATCTCCTACCAGAAATCCCGAAGCTTTGAAGGGCAGTCAGCATTTGTTTGGAAAGGCAGTAGATCTGAACAAATAGGTTGGCCCCCAGCCACTCTAAAGACAATAACTGTGATTATTCTTGCCAGTAAAATTGCGGGAGGATCGATCTGGTTGTATTTTCAATTTAGCATATAGGATATCTATGTTTGTTTTCAATAAACATTTTCAGTGCTTAAGTCCCTCAGACGATGTGTGAAAGCAAACACGTGCATAGCATCCTTGAGGCAAGGAACATTAGCTGCTGGGATTGGCTGTTATTGTTTCACTGCCATTCCATTTCATAAGCCTGGCATGCCTATGCCTGCTTCTTCTGCAGCAAGCCCCTGCTTGCTCTTTTGGGGCTAAGACCTGTGCTTACTTTCAGGAATGAACTCAATCCTGGTCTACATTGGACACGAAGTGTTTGAAAACTATTTCCCTTTCAAGTGGAAGATGCAAGATACTCAATCCCATGCAGAGCATCTGACTCAAAACCTCACTGCAACAACTCTTTGGGTCATAATATCATATATACTTTACAGGAAAAAGATATTCTGGAAAATCTGATGGAGGTGGTCAAGTAGGCCTACGTGCTGCTGGGGCAAAGACCTAAGATGGATTAGCCTGAAATGTTGCCAATTCTGCTGGGTTGCATTAATAAAAAGGGATCCTCGTGCAAGTTTACATTTCCACGGATTTGCAATCATAATTTTATGTCACTTAAGGACCATATTTTTGTATTTAGCTAAAACTTATTAATCTGTTGCAGTTGCTCTATTTCTACTTACTGCACTTTTAAAATATTTTACTGATCTCCTACTTTTGTAGAGAGAAAATGACTATATTGCATCTCTTGGGTATTTAAAGACAGCCAGATGTTGCTCATGAAAGGAACTGTAAGGGAGCTTGGTGGTGATTGCAAGGGATTATCAGAAGGGACTATGGTCACTGTCACTGCACGTGACAAGGCACCCAAATCAGAAGCTGAGGCTTGTAAAAGCTCTTGGCACCTGCTATATCTCAGCACCAGCTATGGGCACACATTTGGTCCAGCTATGTCATATCCCTCTTGTGGAGGGAGGGAGAAATGACTGGATTTGCAGATGCCCCCTGCATACTAAAGTGAAACAACATCCAAGATCTGTGCATAAGAGAAAAAAGGATCAACTTTAATAGGTGAATTCTACAAAACGGTTATCGCCTACATGTCGGCTCCCTCACAGTTATACCTACTTGAGCTGGGTGGTTTTTGAGGAAGTTCCAGTAAGCCTTGTGTTACTTCAAGAGGAAAAGGAAGAAAGAAGAAATGAGAGAGATCATTAGTCCTGGATTCAAGGCCATGCCTGCTGACAGGGGTACTCCACATGTTGAAAAAGGGAAAGAGCAACACAGAGAAGGGCCAGGCCACCCCCCCAGCCCCTATCTGGGATCGTAGTTGGCTTCTGTTCCAACTGAGACATCAGCTTCCAGGCAGCCTGTCCCTTAGAACCATTTTCTCTTTGACAAGGTATCACTGGCTGTGTCCTCAGCTCTGCACTGGGGTGAGTAGTGCAGTAACTGCAGAGGAAAGCTCAGGACTGCCTGTGGGCCTTAGGCTCATCTGTTTGCCTTTTGCTGTTATCTGGGCTGAGATCAATCCCCCAGCATCCTGCAGAAGCCTACTGCTGAAGACCTCTTCTAACGGGGTATTAATTGGCTTGCAGCTGCTACAGGTTTAGCAGTTCACTTACATATGTTCTGGGCTTTGTATTACAAACCTCCAGCATAGAGGAAGTCTGAATTTCACATGCTACACTTGGAGTGGAGAAGGGCCAAGCACTTTGATACAGAAGTTCACTCAGAGCAATCTTCTTTGTAACTGGACTTCTTCCTTGTAACTGGACTTGGATGAGAACTCTGAAAATAAAAACCAGCAATACAGGTGGGATTCAGCCAGAAACGAAACAGGCCAGTTAATCTCTGTGTAAGATACTTGTCAACTCACTTCTGTTTTGATTTCCAAACTAATGCTAATAAAAAGCCTGAAGTACTTTCTTCTGTTCTCTATGCATGTATATGGAAGAAAATAAGACACACCATAGCATAACGCCTATGAAAAGGTAAAAAAACAGAACCAACTAATAACAGAAGGCTTTTTAAACCAAGTTTTATTTATAGAGTTCAATCTGATTTCACAAGGAAACCAAGCAGTGGCCAAATGCTGAGCTGTGTTCTTGTACTGCAGAACTTATTGCTTGCAGGGAACTTCTGTACCTTTAGACAAGCGACTTTTCTACTGCTCTGCTGCTGTCAGGATAGCTAAAAGCCTCTCTCTCCGTGGGAGACGGTGCATCATGATCCAGTCCATTCAAGACAGAGTCTGAAGGAGCAGTATTTTCTCATTAATGCAGAACCTATGCAAGACCACCATGAGATTTTCCCCACAGCGTGAGACTTGGCGCTCCATGGCCAGGCGGAAGTCTTCTTTCACTCCTTTAGTTATACCCCGGGTAACTGTGTGATGCCTTAAGTCATGAAGGAAAGAGAGACAAAAACCAAATCAGGGTTATTTGCAGCACTACAGAAATTTAAAAGGCACTACATGTCACTACCTGCACATCTATCATACCTCAGTTTATAGAGGGAGATCTGAAGCTTGTACTGGCTATTGAAGTAAGTATTTCATAGTGTAAGAGTGTTCCAAAAGATAGGAGTTCTATAAGTGACTATGCTTTCAATGCTTTGGTTATAGTGGCTGTTAGGAAAGAAAACAATGCAGTTCTGCATAACGGGAGAAAGTGTTTTGTTAACCTAGCTTTTTATGATGTTCTCCTTGCATGGAGGGTGCACATAGGAAGCACAGAATCCTATGGGTACCAATTAATGCAAGGTGCAGTGAACTCTTCACAGTACAGAGTACAGTGCCTTCACGACACAAAGTGCAGAAATGAAGCCCGGCTGAGTGTGCACCAGTAGAAGTGAGCTCTTAGGGAGATACTAGATACCAGGGAAGTATTTTAAGCAGAAGATCAAGAATTGTTTTCTAACAGAACAAAAGGGCTGCTAACTGAGCAAGTTAAAGCACTTCTGGCTGGTGAAACTCAGTTTACTGCCCTGGAAAAGGCCTTCCTTATTAATGGCTCTTGCTCCTCATGCTGGCCTGTTATGTTCAATAGCTGGAGTCTTGTCCATAGAACAGTGTTCTGCAGTGCTCCAGACTCCACTCACACTGATCCAGAACTCCATACATTTAGACCCAAACTTCTTAGCATCTACCTGCAAGCCACACTTGGTCCAGGAGGCAAAGGGTATGTCCTGAAATGAAAGCCTTAGCACCACTAAAGGAACAGCATAAAAACAAATGAGAGAGGAAAAGTAAAAATGTTAGCTTTGAGAGGAGTCCTGAGTCAGAAATAAGAAGTGAAGACCTGGACCATACCCAGCATGCACAGTGAGAGACAGAAAGGAAACAAATGGTGAAGGCACACCAGTGCTGGAAATGAAGAATGGCAAAGTCTAGGAATTGCCCTAACCAAAAAAATAGCATTCCACCTTCAATTAAAACACCAATTCCAGAATTTGAGAGGAAACTTGTTGAAGTCAAATTCTGTTCCCAGTCACTCTCCTTCTGCTGAGGCAGCAGAGACCTCTGTTACACATGGAAAAGGCAAAGAGGCTACTGGAAGACTAGAGCTAGGCTGGGCAAAGCAAAACTGCACTGAAAACACTCTAGGATCCTCAGTTTACAGGCTAAGTCATTTTCCACTTCACTGTCTTAAACATTGCTGGCAGGTGAGTGCTATGTTACAGTTACAACCTAAAGGTTCTAACAACCTACAGCTACAGAGCAAGACAGCAGAACTCTTGAAGATGTCTGTCACGTAATGCCTGGACAACAGAAAACATTTCATAACAGCTCAGCTGACAAGAAGTATCTACAAATGGATCCAGTGTTATCTTGAAAAGGTTATGCGCTTGCAAGTACATGACTGAACATCGCTATTGTTTTGGCCAATTTCTACTTTTGTTTTATTCAAAAAGTGATTTATTAAATTGAAAGGACACAGATACTGGCAATTTATGGGAAAAATAAAAGAAAAAGTTAAATAGAACAACATGATTTGCCAGGCAATGTAGGCACAAATGGAGGGGAAAAAAAAAAAAAAGATATTGAATAATAAGTTGCTGAAAACCATGGGCAGTAAAACATGTAGACAAAACACATCACACTATGAGTGGGGTTTTTCCACTTGGTACCTGTCAGCAGTCTGTATGCTGGGCTGTAGCACAGGTATGAATTCCTGCTGTAGTAACCCCATGGGTGGGCTAGAATTCCTTTAAAAAACAGCAAATAGCAGTATTCAAACACCCACACACCAATTAATCCTCTGGTGCAAAACAACCATCCAGAAAAAAAACAAGGGGCAAGAGAGAACTAAGATGAGCCCAAAAGCAGTAAGACCGTCAAGCAGTCTAAGGAGTGCAGGACTGAACAGCACTGAACATACAAACACCCCCAGATTTCATTGTTAAGGCTGCTTTGCAAATGTAGCCTAAATAGATATGCATATTTGAGTGGAGAAAGAACAGTGGTAGGTGCAGAAATCAACTCACAGCTGTAACACAATGAACTGTCATTAGTTGTCCCAGGAAGTGTGCTCATCAGAAAAGATTTAATTCATGGGTGTCCAACCTTTTGTCTTACTTAGGCCACACTGAGTGAAGACAAATTGTCTTGGGCCACATATTATATATAATATTAATAATTACATTAACTATATCCATCTAAGTATCAAAAAATTTATTTTCAAGGAGAACACAGGATAAGAGGACAATAAAACTACAGGGTTGGAGAAGAGCACTGCAGATACCACAGTCTTCCTGCACAGCCAGTGAGAGCGTGTCAGAGAAGATAGTGTCAGGGAGAGCCCACAGCCTGAGGTAAGGGACTTGCTGCTGAGCTCAAGCCAAATGCATGCACAGCTGGTATCAGCCACATGGTGTACATGACAGTATTTGTTACAGGTTGCATACATATCCTTTAGTTAATCCACAGATGACCTTTTTAACTGTTTCAAATTCTAACCACACACAAATGAAGCTGCTATAGGGTGGCATAATGTCACAACAGAAATGCCCACTCAGAGCAACCTCCCTGTGTTAAGGGGAATATTTGCAGTGATGCTTACAACCCAGAGTCACGTGAACTACCATCCAAAAAGTGTCAGCTGGTCTTTGTGAAGCCCTCATCTCTGTGCGCTACTTAAAGCACAGGATAATCATCTTACACTTACATCCTAGAGCAAATCCAATGCCCTACCTAGGGAGAAATGGGAAATTTGGTATAAGGAGAACAGGCCTAGCTTCTTAATTCAAGTTTCAAAACAGTGTAAAACTCACATAGGCACTCAAGCAGTGTATGAAATTCACTCCCACAGATGCTAAGGAGCTGAGAAGCCAACTTGGACATATATGCCTCTAGTACTGAATTAGGTGCCTACCTCCAGATCTTGCAGATGAGCTTTCTGATTAGTATATACTACTTAAATGTGGATGGAGAGCTATGCTAAAGAAAAAAAAAATTCACCTCAATTTAAGAACAAACACATTAGTAGCACAAAAACCTCTACAGTACAGATAACTGAAATAAAATACTCAAAGGAATTACTCAATCATGTGAGATACTTTTTCAAGAACTCATCATGAACGAACACAATATTGGCAAAATTGAACACGGCAAATAGAAAATGAAAAATAGCAGCAAGACACTGTTGGTCCCATGGTGGCAGATGTTTGCAAACAGAATTCTGCACAACTGCGTCTGCAGACTGTTTGCAAGATCAACTAAAGTAAACATACCCAAATGCACAATCAGAATAAAAACTATGCTTTCAAGATGGTTTGTTTCACTTCAACTAAGAATTCCTCCTGCATCCTCAAGGAGAGATGAGCTGGGAATGGGAATAGAGGTAGAAAACTGATCAGCTTTCACATCAAGTTCATGCAGTGTTTGGTAGTCTAAGATCAGTCTAATTAGACTAAGATTATCAAAAATAGGAGCATGATATCAATCAGTCACTTCCTGCATACTGTTTTTTTCCTGTTTAACCTCTCTAGCTAATGCAGCCACAGGTAATCAGTACAGCTATGAAACCCATCTTATCTACAATGGAGTAGAAAGGCAAATATTAGCAGAACTCAGATCTCATTGTACAAGTCTTGCTGGCTGTGCAAAATATGAGCTGGCTTTACCACCTGATGAAACCCAAACTGTGGAACTTCATATTCTCACCATAGATACCAAGGAAAGGGAAACCTCACAAGCTGTATATTACATTTTGCAGAACCTGACTGAGAGGCTACCAAGACCATACATGAGCTTTTTAAGAAAAAGTGTAGTTTACTTCCTGAGTTCAGAAAAAGGAATGGTCTCCCATGAAGAGTAAGGTGCTGAGGATGATATTGGTGTAAGAATCTAAGTTTTACCTGGAAAGAAAACCTTCTATAAGAATTCACAATACAAAAGCTCATTCTTAAAAAAAAAATATATATATACCTGTCATCCTGTTAATTATGACATAGGACTTCTATGCTCATGTACTGTGAGAAAAGACCAGGCAAAGGAAAGATTTTTGTCTTCAGGCTGGTATGGCAAAAACCATGAGCATCCTCCTGTGCATGAACAGTATGCCTCTGCAATCACTAGAAAGATGGTGCAGTAGCTCAAACAACCAGAACTGCTGAGACTTTTGAAAGATGAAAGCCAGTAAGCAGATTTCAGCCTGCAAACCACTTAGAAGTAGCTAGCTAATGTCCTAGGAAACAGAGCTGTGCTGACAGTTGATTAGAAGTGCTGGAGGAGGCAAGTAAGCTAACCAGTGTCACTGAGGTCAACATTGTTGGCACTACGTCTGACCCTCAAAACCACTCCAGCAAAAGCAATATTTGGGATACCAGGGAGTCTCCTCCCGCTCAGCTCCCTGACAAAGTCATCTCTGATGGATCTCAAACACGTAAGAGACACTTTACTCTCAGCCTCTTCCATCTGACAGGATATTTGACTACGGTAGTAAAATAAGCACAAAGAAATGGATTTCTGCAAGCATTTGCCATCATTCAGAAAACATAACACTGGTCAGATGGAGGGCAAAGAGATTTGTCTCACTAGAAGCACTGCTCATCACCTGTTCTGAGGTGAAGTCAGAACAATAAAAAACAGCTGCCATGCAAATTAAAGAAAAAGCAGCAATCCAATGAAGTAGCACTAAGCTATTAAAACTAACTAGAGACAGCAGCCAAGAATTTATCAGGTGTGGTCTTCCCTGCAGAATGCTCTTGCTGACAAAGACTACTATGTAACATCATACATCAAGCAGCACACCCTGATTTTTGTTTTCATGCATCTGGCTACAAACAGAGATACAGCAAGAGTAAAGAATTTGAAAATCAAGAGCTTGAAAGAGTACTCTGGAAAATTGATTTACTTGTTCGAATTTGAACAGTTACCTTTTTTGTAAACTTTAGCCCCGTTATACTATAAGTTAACAGCCAGAATACACTGACCTGCACTAAAACACTGGCAAATTTTTACTAGTCTCCCTTTTGTAAACCTGAAATACATCAAGTTCTAATAAACAATCAGGATATTCCCAAACATCCTGCCTCTTGAAACCTGCAACAGTTCAGTCTTGACTCCAAACAAAGAACACTTCGCAAGTTAATATATATTATTAATTTTCTTCACCATCCAATAAAAAGTTGAGTAGAATAGGCTGTTCAGTACATAATGACAGACGGTCTGCTAATTCAGACAAAAGGTTATACACCTGGAACATAATTGATGTTTTATATTAAGCCTTTCACAGCTTTGTTTGTAACAAGTAGTGCTTTCTGTTCAGCACTGTAATTCAGCCAAATTATTAACAACTTGCACTCGTGCTTCATTTCTTAAAGAATTCCTGCAAATGCAAGTCAAGCCTCTGGCTGAAAGAGCAGTCCGGCATCACTGTAATACACAATTCTAAAGCAAATGCAACACTTAATAACAAAGTTCTGTATAAGGAATTTAAAGTTGAAGAACCCCACAGAGGAGTTCACAGGTCAGTGGAAGAGATTCTGAGCTCCTTATCCAACTCCTTACATTTAAACTCACAGCTATGATAGACTTAATACACTGAATATTAAATAAATGTGATGATAGAACAATTTACTTTAAAAAAAAAAAAGAGTGAATATATTTTCATCCTTACTTGATCAGCATTCCTTGATTTGGCAACAGTTCCAGATGGATTTTCCCACCTTCCTGTGTTCTTAGATAAGCAAATTCCTCCAACATGTCAATATCTGAAGAACACGTTAAAGATTTTTTTTAAAGAAGAAAAATGTAGTCAACATCCCTACTCCTGCATAGAGGCCACAATGCCCACAGGACAACCACAGTTAACAGCTACTAAAGCATCCAATTCCTAAAAGTGATAAAGAAGATCACAGCATGTATCCCCAGCCCTCCAGAAATAAAGGAAAAAAATTTTTTGGTAAATTGTTTCTTGTTTTACACAGGAATACATATCAGTCAGTCAATTTCTTTTTGTACATACAGTCTGACTGCAAGAAAAGCTCATGTCATTAGGACCATACAAATTCACTAGCTGATTTCACATTCTCTTCCTATGCTCTGCAAAGCAAAGCTGACATTGAAGGATATAATGGTACATACCACCTTTTCTATTTCCTATTTTGTCCTTTATTTAGCCATTTCTTTTCTTCCTTGAATACTGCCATTATTGCAGCCTCTGAACAGAGCTTTGTCTCATAAAGGAATCTGAACCTGAGCTTTCCAGGACCGTGGTTGGATGTCTACTCCAGTTAAACACTAAACTGTGTGCATATACTGATCCAAGTGTATGCAAGAAAGCCGACTACATATCAGACACGCTTTGCATGAACCCTGACATAAGTTGTTATCTTACTCAACCCCAAAGCTTACCCACACAAAGCATTCAAGTAATAATAATGAAAATGATTCAGTTCTTTGAAGCCACTTCACCATTTTTGTTACCACCAGCTAAGCGTGGCATAGTAAAACAACAATCTTGTAGTTCAACGGCACACATCTTACTGAGAAAGATTCAACATCCAACACTACTCAGAAGTACTTCAAAGTGTCTGAAGGGTAACAGAAGGCATATTTAGGGTCCATTATTTACCGGCAGTTATTGTGAGAGGCTTGCGTTGTACATGCGTTATACAGAATACTATTCACAGAGAGAACCTGCTGAAACTAGCCATCAGCTTTCTCATCACCCAGGCAAATAACATTGGTTGTGAAAGACATCCCCTGCTAAGGAAAGGATACTTGTGACATAGTTGAAAAAATTCTCATACTGGAAGTTCCCTTGCTGGCAGATTTTGTTGATGGCTTTCAGGAACAAATTTTCACCCCTTGGCCACTCATGCTGAAGTAGAACAATCACATGGCCCAATGCCGTGTCATCTCTGTTGTCAGTGAAAGCTCTGAGCTTCAGGAAAAAAAAAAAAAAAAAGGCATTGATAAGATAAGGAAAGTCACACTACACTTAAACTGATTGGATTTAACTACTTCTGTGCAAATACAAAACAAGCTCTTTAGGAAGTCTATTTCAAGCTGCCCTAACATATATATTTAAAACAGGTTGGAAATTCCCAGCCTAATTCTCTTCAGTGACTTAAAGCAAAGTCTAGAGATATAGGCAAAAGTATTTTGAGGTAAACCCTATTTTCTCTGCCTCAAACTTCAATGACTAAAAAAGAACAAATGCTATTCCTCCCCTCAAACAGAAGTGTCCATTCACAAACCCACTGAGGTGAGAAACACTTGAAGTAGAGCCACTTACACCTAGTGCCACCACTGGGATAAGGCCATGCAATTTCAGGACTCCAGCGATGTATGTTAGGCCTTATGGACTTGAGATCAGCAGACTATAGCTTACCTTGAAACAAGCTAACAACAGATGAAGGCAATAAGGCATGATAGCTCTACTGGTACATGGCCAAAGCTTCAAATCAGACCCTGCAACAGAACAGTTTAACACAGACTTCTTAAGTGCTCTTCTGACTGTAAGTTTGGAAGAAATCCAAATGAAGAAAAATAAACACTTGCCTACAGTCTCCAGTAGGGAAGAAAACTTAGAAGGCAATTACAAATGATTCAAAATGTGACATTATACATTTTAAAAATATATATTCTTCCCTTCTCTTGTACTGTGTAAGGACTTGGTCCCCAAAGCAATTTTATAGGCATCAGCAGGATACAAATTAATAAAAGAAGATGTCAAGAACTACCTCTGTTTTTCACAATGTATTATACAGATATATATAATACTATATAGATAGATAGATAACACAGAATTATATACATCATAAATAAACAAAGACTGAAACTGAGACAATCCTGAGCTTAGGGTAATAGCAACTGCATACCTTTTCTGAATTTAGACTTGACTTTGGGATGCTCCTCCTGTACTTTACCTCCTTCTTGTATTGGAAGTAAAATATAGCACATGAGGTCAAGCACTTTTTCACATGTTTGCTATAAAAAGGAGACAAGATAGAAACAAAATAGGCAGGAAATAGACAAGTCTAATTTAAGTTTAATTATATTAAAAATTTCAGACAAAGCAAAAGGCAAAATTTGGTGCTAGAACTGCAGAATGAATGCATATTTTAGCTTAACTGAGCAAAGAGACAAGGCTGTGATATGAATCCCATGAAGCAATCTCAGAGCTTGAAACCATTTTAGTTGTTCTTAAGAGTGTTAAATCATTAAAAACGCAAAATTTTTAATCTTGAAATACTACATTTTCCAATCAATTCTTAAAGTAGTTTTTAAGAATTTGTCCTGTTCATGGTAAAAATAGAACAGGAAAATGACAATTGAACACTATGACAGAAATGCTGTAAATTTTAATGCAATTTTCTAGAGACAATAAGAGGTCTGAACAGATATATAGTTAGATTCCTAATGAAAAAATATTGGAGAAAAAGGAAAGACTACTCCAACAAAACTAGGATGCTTTGAAATCCTTACTCAAGCTATCTGTACTTTCTATACACCTTTCCTTCCCCTGCAACATGAAGTCTATACACAAGAATTATCTTCATATTTTAAAACTTTCAGTTAATGTAAGCAGCTAAAAAAAAAAAAAAAAAAAAATCAAGCTTTCACTGACAGACCACTAAAATACTCCTAGCTACAGTAAGTCACTGTTTAGTTAACAATGCTAGTCATAGCTACCAAATAGAGTGTATATGTGAGATAATAATGGATACTCAGATTAGGCAGTAAGGGCAATTCTTTTCCCTGTGAAGCACTAATTTTTCTGCAGACCATGGCTTGCATTTGATACCCTATTGGAAGTACACTGACATGGAAACTCAAAGCAGATGGGAACCACAGCGGCATCTAAAAGAGCAGTGCATGGAATGCTGTACATACCCGGTACTCTCCCAGGGCAAAGTGGCAGGTTGCTAACTGGATTAGCGCTCTCTGATTTTCTAGTGATCCTTGTCCTGTAATTTGTTGTGGAGAATGAGATCCCTGAAGAGCTGCTAAGTGATGCAGGCTGCTAATTGCCTTTTTGTACTGCCCCTTTAAGAAGATGGAACAGAGCGTGTAAGATGGGTAGAAAGACAAATAAGAATTCCTTTATAGAGAGCTTTCAAAAAAGTGGGTGTCTAAATAACAAGGCTTCAACATTTCTGTCTAGCAGAAAACTCCCCAGTGATGTGCTATGTACATAAGCATGGATCCAGCCCTTGCAAGGCTGGAGACAAACAACTCTGCTTTAAAAAGCATTTATGTAGAGTCCCATAACTGTAATAAGTTATGGTCCCTGGAGTTAGCTGTCACTCCATTTAGTTATATAAGTCTTGAAACAGCTTTTGTTCTGCAAGAACAAAACAAAACAAAGGGAAATACATGAAAGAACAACCTCTGCTCTGGAAATAGTAGGATGATATTTATAAACTAATTTTTAATGAGATAACCAATTTTAAATCCAATTGAAGCATGTTAAAACCTGTGATTTGAATTATTTTCTCTGATGGTATCTCAACAGAAAGTATTGGCAGACAAGCTGCATTTTAATTTCATCACACACATTTCATCTTCTTCATATGTTAATGCTAGCTGGACTAAAAAAAACTAACACAGGAATAGTGTGTAAGGTAGGTAGCTCTGCACTAAGAATGGTGCGATTTCATCCCCTAAAGGGTCATACTTCAAAGGATGAAGTCAGCAGACAAAGCATCTGACAAGCTAATCAGAGTAGCTTTTCACTAAAAGAAAGAGCAATAGTATGGAGTCGTTTTCAATGTTTTATCTTTTTTACCTGGTAAATAATCATGTCCGTAAGAAAGATTCTTAACCAAAGCCAGGTTTCAGTCTTCCATGACAAACAAATTCTGGTGAACTCTGTATTAGTTATCAGAGAAAAAAGCAGCATATGATAGCTTTGTGTTAAAAAACAATCCAGAAATATACAGCTGTATTTAGAAAACAAAACAGCATGAATGTTAACTCCTTTAAAAATAGGATACTCTTTCAATACAATCACATACAACCATATTTCTGTAATACTTTTCTTCAGTGTCCAACAAATACTGTTAAATAACAGTATTTACTTTTCCCCAAGATAAATTTGTTCTGATATATTGTCTGATAACATCTAATGTGATAATAAAACTAACTTGCTTAAGCATGAACTAAAGCACCCATTAGGAGCCTGTCCTCACCTAGAAGCACTACTACTAATCAACTGTTCCTTCAGTGGAAGCTTCTTCCAAAAGAAGCCATTGAACAAGCAAAGACACAAGGAATGAAAAAGAAGCCAAGAAACATAACATTCAGAAAAGTATCAACTGAGAACAGCTTCTTACAGAACCCAGATAAAAAAATTAACAGGGATGCAAATTAAGCCATATTTCAAAGGCTTCCACTGGCTGGAATTGAGCTTCAGCAATACTAAAACAACAGTAATAATAAGTAAGCGTAGCACTGTCTGTAGTTAGGCTTACCTTTGTCAAGTGATTCCAGTGAACAGAGCAGCTCCCAGCTCTCTCTTGCCAGTTTAAAGCTCTCTAGTACTTCAATAGAGTTTGCAAGGTCTGCCTTATTAACTGCAATATGACGACTTCGTGCCTTTCCAGAAGGATCCTCATCATCTGAGCTCTGCTTATCAACAAAAAACCCAGAGATTCAATACTTAGATCTCATACAATTCTGAAGTAACAGAAGTTCCACTTAACAAAAGTAAGCAGTCCCAAAACACAGATTCCAACATCCTAATTTCATAGTCTTCGCATGACTTTTCACTATTTCACTTAGCTTTTTTTGACATTAGAACAACCTGGTTTGCTACCAATAAAGTCAGTGGCATAGCGTGATAAAGAGTATCCCTACAGATCATTCTCGTAGACATGCTTTAGCCAGATTCCTAATTCAAGGATATATATATATATTACGTTTTAGCACTCAGTTCAAGTCTTCAATGGCATAATGCAAAGAAAATATCCCCATGTAAGTGTAAGCACTTCTATCAGAAATTCTATGAAATGTTTTCCATTATTGAAGTAAACGTATTCACGGTTCCAGTAATATGAAGTCAATTAATTCAGCTACACCTGTAGAAAATCTGACTGCTACTGCCATTCTTCGTAGCTTCTTTAAGCTGAAATGTTCATATCCACACATCTACAGCAGTTGCTACAAAAATTATTTTACTCTTGCTTTTCTTAGCAAAATGCATGTTTCTATAATATAATCAGAAGCTACTATTGTGGGGTAGCTCTAAAAATACATCAAAACCTCTAATGTTGAAATGCCAGTATCAGTGCCATCATTTCACAGAAAGAAAATCTAGAGAACCTACCATTGTTTTTTCTCTCCCTTCAGCAAGTTTTCTCTTTTTGTGTATGTGTTTGTTACGATCAATATCTGTATCACCATAGACATTGGTCACATCCTCAAGAAGAATCAGTGGGGCTTGGTTTGGAGCATTTGGACCTGGGTTTAAACATAAGTTAGATCTCAACTGACCTGAAAAGTATTGTGCTTACATCGAGCCGATTCTTCTTCCTTCACACTGAAGGAATATGTTAAAGAATAAAATCTCAAATGCAATTCAGTTAAGTTGCATAAGCAACCATGGTGAAGCTGTTTTTCCTCAAAGCAGCCTTACAGTAAAGGTTAGAACACATTTACCAGACTCACAACAAATACCTTACAGGCTTTAGGATCTATCTATGAGCCCTTTTCTTATAGAGCAGTCGTAAGATATGCTCTCACAAACTTTCTTCTCATCAAGCATTAATTAATGTTATATCAACACAGTTATTCAACAGGTAAACAGAACAGATAGCTCCAGACTTAACGGCTACAAATATAGCAATATTTTAAAAACATTCTCATTAGGAGTCAAAATAATATGCTGACAGGTAGTAATACCTCAAAGAAGCAAGATTTTTCCACTATAACCATTCAATATAATTTCAGTTGTACAGGAGCTTCCATCACTCTCAAAGCTTCTACAGAAGCCCCATATTGAGGCAAAAAATACATTATTTCTGCTTTCCTTGATAAGACAGAACAATCTGTGAGACCTTGTGTTTGTTACTTCAGATCTCAATGCTTGCATTTCATTAAATAGAAAATGGGACTATACCACAATCTCAAAACAGACTGCTACACAATCACCCACCACTGCAAAATTCCTCCTTCCCAAAATGTTTTCTCTGTCGGCATAACCTAAATACACCTAGATATGCAAAGCTCAGACAAAAAGAAACATAAAGGAAAGGGGAAATGCATTAATCCATTTTCCCTTTTTGAGATCTGCCAGAAAACACAGTAATGCCAACAGGAGTTTTCTGTACTTGCATTCGCCCTGTTACTATTTGCGTGATTTAAGACTTACTGACTCTACTGTCAGTAGAAGTTGGTACTACACCAACAACCTACTATGCTTACTAAGTGACTATTTTACCTCTTTCAACTAGATTCAAACCAGATACCATCAGTTAAATGTCCCCTATGCAAAATTTATAGCAAATTCAAAGAACTTCCACTGTAACATATCTTTCTGTGTCACGATGTAACCTGTGCGCACTTAAAATGGCCAAGTCAATGTAGAAAATAGCATTTGTGAGAACAGATAAGTATGTACCACAAGTGGGATCCTGGGAGACTTTTAACACTGAAGTCTCAAGAGCTGCCTACTTGTAAAACCTGAGAAAAAAGCAAAGGGCTTTTCTGTTACTCACTCTCCTTTCTCAAAGCACCCATGCAATCACTTTGCTTTCCAAAGGATATGTTCTTGTCAGTAGCAGGCAAACATACCATAATCTTTACACCAAAACCTCCAGTCTTAAAAATCTAAGCAAACTTCACCTTTTGCTTGTGCTGCAAGCCTTCCCTTGCATTACACTGAATGCTATACACAGCCATTTTTAAGTTTTTCAGCTTAATTAGAGTCTAGGTTACAGAGTTTAATTATTTCTTGCATAGTGTCATAAATGAAATACTAAAAGCATCAGCCCAAATAAGCAACTGCTGTCAAGCCCAAGAAGTGTGAATTGCCTCATTCACTTCTCAAGTCCTCAACGAGGCAAATAAGAATTACGTAACAGAAACGCACTGAGAATTCTCTCTCAGGATCTCCTCTAAGTTCACACATGTGACAAGAAGATAGTCACATACCAAAATTCAGAGCTACTAGACTGACAATGTAGCTTTTGTTTCTCCCTACCACACAGTGTATAATTACTCCACTCATCATTACCTCAAGCAGGAAAAGATACTAAGACTTGTAAACAATACTCATAGTATTTTTAACTTGAAATATATATTATATAATATATATATATTATACTTTAAAATAGTAATTTTAACTTCATTATTAGTCAGCCACTGTAGCATCAATAAATAATTATTACCCACTGCAAAGAAAGAGAATAGCAGATACAACTATTTCAGATCAGACTTTATCCAAGAAAGGCAAAAAACACAATCTGACAAGATAAGAAACAGAAGTGTACCCCTTACTGAGAATCAGGGCTTACTAAACACTCCCATAAAGAGAATCTCAAAGCAATTTGACAATGCAGCAGATTTAAGAGGCCAGGAAAAACAGCAAATAACATTCATGTTAAAATGCTCAATTCAGAAATTAAATAAAGATTCATGCAATACAGGTTTTTAAAGATAATGCTTAAATTATGCAAAAAGCTTATATAATCAATGAATATACAGATGTTGTAAGTAAGAAATACATAAGAAAGTTAGGCTAAGTAAGATCATCACAACAAGAAGATAACAAACAGAAAACTCTCAAAAATGTTGTAGGCTCTCAATATTCTCAACAAGGAGAAATCTCCAAGAAGAAATCCTTCCTCACTGGCAGTCAGCACTTAAATGAGATCTAGGAGAGGTGGAGCCAGGCTCCACCCCTTCTGGTAGGGCAGGTGAATTACCTTCACCTGCACTCCCATGCCTGACTCATTGCTTGCCTCAGGTGATCAATTAGAGGTTCAGGCCATGATACAGCAGTTCCCATACAGAAGCCGTGAAAATGTAAGCTTCAAAGAATCAAAATCAGAGGAGAAAACCAACATGATGCTGATAGAACAGTGGCAATGAATTCTAGCAATGTTATAGGTAACATCTGGTCTTTTGCTTCTCTCCTCTCTAGACTACTGTTGTTATCTGAGCTTGAAACTGTAACACTACGTTAAACAGATCTTTGCTCCAACCCAATACCAAAGTTGTCCTGAACCACTTCTGCTGATAAGAACAACAGATTGGGACAATTTAAAAGAGAATCCATGTCACTTTGTGAACCAATAGTTTTAAAAGGGTTTTTTTCTGAGGAAAGATCCTGAAGGCATTAGCAATGAAAACTAACCTTGGAAGAGAGATGGCTGGATATTGCTGACGTACTGGAATGCATTCTTAAAGAAGACCAACATTGTAGAATACACTACTTGATTCTTGTATTTAGCATGAGCATCACTATCAAAGTTACTGATGTATCTGCAGAGGTCTTTCATTCTATGCAAAATATCTCCAAAACTTCTGAGAAAGAAAGAAAGAAAAAATTAGCATGTTACACAGACCAAAAACTAAAGCAAACTGAATGTGAAAAGCTTAATGTTTTCGCTCAGGAAATCTCAGCTGCATGTCAGGGAAGTCTAGGGACACATCCCAGCAAAACGTCACTAAATATTCACCTTTTAATTTGTTGTGGCACCTAGGAAAGGACATCCCACACTACTGTCGTTCTTATGTATGACTTTAGTCAACAAGGATATAGTTCAGTAAGTCATTTGAAAGGGGCTCACATTTTTACTTTACATTATACAGTTTTGAAATAAATCTGCGCTGAATTTACAGAAAATCTTTCCTCATGTTAAAGTCCTTCTCTGACTCATCTGCTTAAGGATTAAGAAGATCAATCTTCCTCAAGAAGGAATACCTGGAAAAGTTAAAATTTCTCACCTTCTTCCTTTATCCATTTGCCATTCACACCTCATTCCCACCACAGACAATATTTTAAACAGCCTCTCCCACGGATCTGTAATCTGGGATGATTTCTCTGTCAGACCATCTATTATGTATTTCTGAGAGCTACGTTTGCTTGGAGACATAAGATCAGATGAATCTTGTGAACCTATGAAAACAAATACGTTCTTCTCTTTAGAAAGAAATCAAACAGATGTATAACTAAGGAGAAGAGTAAAAAAACACGTTTGAGCTTTCAGGGTAATCAGAGTTGGCAGGTTGGATGAGGACATCTTAGACATTTTGTCCTATCTTTCTCTACGAGATACATTACACTGAAGTGATGCATTTATAAGCCTATTTCAGTAAGGATAAAATGTATTTTAAGAAAGTCTGATTTTGTAAAAATACTCTTACCTTGATACTGGCTTTCTGTCTGTGTAGATCTAGTTACATAGTTAATATAAAATTCTGCTGCTTTATTCAGGTATTTATATAACAAGCTGGCAGGAAGTCGAACATCAGGGTTGTTAATTATTAGAGGAAGAACATCACAAACTAAAATAGCAAAGAAGCAAAACAAAACCGTTAGAGTTTGCGGAATTTTTTAATTCTATTTGTCCCAAGTAAAGTTTTTCAATTAGCAACATAAATTCCCATCTCTGGCAGACCAAACACCAAAAAGAATCATAGAATCACAGAATCACCAAGGTTGGAAAAGACCTACAAGGTCATCCAGTCCAACCATCCACCTATCACCAATAGTTCTCACTAAACCATGTTCCTCAGAGCACAGAGCCTAAACACTCCTTGAACACCTCCAGGGTCAGTGCCTGCACCACCTTCCCCCGGGCAGCCCATTCCAGCACCTGACCACTCTTTCAGAAAAGCACTATCACAAAGAATCACAAAAAACCTCAAATGAATGACTGCAATACCTGTTTGTGGCAGATGGTAATCCTGCCCTAAAGCAGCCTGACACTGTTCTGAATAAAGTGCTTTTCTAATCTTAATACTAAGACAGCAATTTACTTAACTCCAAATTTATCTCACTGCCATTCTATAAGCTTGTACAAAAAGACAAGTATATTAGCGTTTTCTTACCAAACAATTTTCTAAAACAATTCACTGGGGATTCTTGGTCTTCAATATTTTCAGCTTCTAATAATGTTTCTCCAAGGCCAACCTGTGTAAGCAGAGGTAAAAAACAAATAGTGGACCAGTGTTTTTGGAAACTTTTGGAATTGCAATTCAATGGAGATGAACAATCACTGAAAGTAATTCAGTAGGAATTAACTACTTCACTGGATGCATTAGTATCTATGTAGTTAAACTAGCACCATGTAATACCAGATGAAAAGCAGTGCCAGGCGATAACAAAACCTGGACCAAAAGAATTGTGCCTGTGAGTGTATCATCAAAGAAGTGCACTGCAAGGTGAAAGCTACCACACCTTACATTTGCAGCTTGTCACCTGACCTGCACACTCTTCCTGTTGCGGGTATGAAGTACAATATGTTAGTTCAAGTTAGTTTCAGAACTAACAGGTTTTACAGTCTTCAAACTATGCTTCAATATAAGTACGCCAGTATTTAAAGGGCTCCACCATAGTCTTGTACATCTAAGCAAATGCTCTGCTCTGAGCCTAGTTATAACCTCAAAGTATAACTTTGCCGTCAGTGAGTATTAACTAAAAAAAGCTCAAATAATACTATCTCTTAGACTACAATATTCCTCAACATTCTGTGTGTATGTGCGTTATTCTTTTTTACTCCTCAACACTCTGTGTGTATGTATGTGTGTTTTTCTTCACCCTCCCCTGCCCTTCCCCCCCCCCCAAAAGCATGGAATATTCATTGCATTTACAAAAGAAACAAACAAAACGCTTATTATGAGCTACTCTTACCCCATGTTGTACCACAGTCTCTGGGAAGCGTCGCAGAAGTAGCAGTAGCATTTCTGCCCTTTCTAGTGTGTTAAAACACTGCTCTGTGGCCTTCAGTAACATTTCACACTGCACTCGACCAGGAAGGGTTTCAAATAATCCTTTAAAGAAAAGATACAGTGCAACTCACTGCGTTTGAACTGCAAAGGTGGCTGATTAAGGGTAAATGACAAGGTCAGTGTGACCTTGCTACATAGACAGAAAACATTTCCTTACATTTCTTTCAGTTTTTTAATACCAGAGCCTAAAAAACCTAAAATGCTATCTTTCTGAATGAAGCCTGTAGGAAACCTGTGTTTCTTTGGATGCACTGAACTTAACAAGTAAGAATGCTAATGAGTAGAATAGTGAAAAAATAAACATGCTTCTTCAAGATCTTCATTTAATTCTTTGCTTACATACCACGTCTAACTTCATTACTTTAACTAAAAAGTACCTTTTCCAATTTAAATATTCCATGAGACATAGAAATGAAAATATTCTCCCTATAATTTAGATGTATTCCTATGAATTCCATTCCATGAAAATGCAAACACTTCCTCAATTAGAGTAACGTATACACAAAGGGAGACATACTGCTTATTCTTACAGTTTCTGAAGTGCACCTTCAGAGAAGAGTAATATTACAACTAGTCTGGTGTAAACGGTGCCTTCAAAACTGCCCATGGCTGCTGGCAGCAAATGTGAAGACTTCAAATGCTCAGTCATTTCTCTAGCTTACCAGACTATGCTTTTTGTACTTGCCCAACTAGCTATGAAACCAGAGGGCTTATCTTTATGTTCCTTTTGGACTCTCCCTATTCTCGGAGTAAAATCCTTACCCCTTAAAAACTGAGTCTGCTTGTCCTGTGAATCATTCCTCAGCGCTGCTGTAATAACACTGATCTCCCTCCACACTGCAGGCTGGTCCGGAAAGTTCACAAACCTGTAACAGAGTTTGATGCAACGAATGCAGAGTGATCTGAGAACGTGCTGGTAGGACAAACCACCCCATGTTACGTACATGTCATAGAGCAGCCTGCCCGCCGACGCCGTCCTCTCCGCGTTCCTCTCGATGGTGTACATCTCATACTGCAGGGGGCAAGGACAGCACATTGGCTTCCTGAGCGCATTCATCAATTGCATTATCCTTTCTGCTCCGAGAAAACCGCACGACAACGGACCAACTCAAAGGACACGTGTGTGAATAACGGAAACTGAGAGGAAACGACTGTGGCACTGTCTAACCACACGATGTGCAACGTCTGTATGCACATACACGCAGTGATACTAACATGCTGCTTCATTTCTACACAAACAAAACAGCCAGCGAGTTCCTTGACTGAGGTTCCCACTCAAGTACAGGGCAGAAACGCAATCTACTTCGAAAGCCACTGCCGAAGAGGAGCTCTAAAACTTTCCGACAGCTGCCATCAGAGTGCGGGGCGGCTCCATCAGCCTATTAACGGAAACGCCGTGCCCCCGTCACCACGGCAATCGCTCGCCCCGCCCCCCCCCCCCCCCCCCCCGCCCCCGCGGCAATCGCCCCCCCCCCCCCCCCCCCCAGCCCATTGGCCGACGTGCCCGTCAGTCACGCAGCGCACGCCGCAAAGCCGTGTGGGGGAGCGCCGCGCTTTCATATGGCGCCGGTGCGCTAGCACTCACCTGGATATTGAAGTCGGCGGGATAGAGGCTCCGCGCCGTGATGAGCCAGGCCTTGGCCGCCCATAGATCTCCCGGCACCAGCTCGCGGGCTCGCTTCACCAGAAACTCGCAATCCCCCTGAGCTGACATCTTGCGGCGGAGCGGCGCGCATGCGCACCGATGCCCCGGGGCGGCCTCTGCCTTCTCTTTTGCCCCGCCCCATCCGGGCGACGCGCGGTTCAGGGCGTGTGCAGGAGCCGGCGTTTTGTCCGGTCCTTCCAGGGCCTTTAGCGATGTTCGCGAGGCTGTGCTCTAGCGGCATTTCTTTTGCCTTCTCTATAGGCCTTGTTGGGGGTCTTTGTGCTGCACTGGGGCTAGTGAGGTATAGGGACCTTACTGTGTGTGGGCTGAGGGTCAGAAAATGTATCTGTAGTAGGGAAGTGGGAATTAAGAGCACTTGTATGGATAGGGAGGGCTGAAGTACTTGTTGTAGCTCGGGGAGCAGTTTATGCTCTCAAAACTTGTGGCTTATGAGAAACTTCGTGGTACTACCCATTAGCGTTTAGAACTAGTGATAGTAGGTACTATAGCGGCTGAGCCAGGCTCAAGAGCTTCTCTTTCTTAGTTTTGTGTGCGGTGTTAAGAATATAATGGTGGCTGGAGTCAACTGATTCCATCTCTAATGTTTACAGCACAGCAGTGCCCTTTTTGAAGTGGATATTGGTGTAAATCAAAGTACTTTGTAAAGGTCCAAGGCCCTAACAGCACTGCCATGGCTTGTACTGATAAAAGGTGCTTGTAGTTGAGAACTAAGTTAACCAGCAGTTATTATCCTCAAAGAGCAGAGCTTTTTCTGTCCATAAGCTGTCCTGACCTTCAGCAACTTACAGATTTGCTTATCTGTAGTTTATGGTGTTCAGTGTTAAGATGCTTGATTACATGCAGGTGTTCCTGTTACTTATCTAAGTGTAAACTTTTTCAGTGTTATCATTTTATTTATTCCTTTCAAGTAGGCCGTTCATTTTTGATGTAACAACAGCCCTTTCAGACTTTGCTCTTGTGAACTTGCACTGCTTACGGCCATATGTCTATATCTAGGAGACAATCCCTTCATTAAATATTTAAAATGGGTGCTAAGTCTCTGAAGCAGATAAGGAGTAACATCCTTTCTGCTTTATTAATTGATGCATTTTTTGCCTCATTATCAGCTGTTTTATGATGTCTGCAGATCCTCTTGCTATTCTGGTGCAGGTGGAAAAGTGTTTTTGTGGTAGGCTGTCACAAATTTTTACGAAGTTTGGGGGAAGTGTATGGTCCCTGGTGTCATTTTTGGGCTGAGAATGGAGTCATCTGAGGGCTGGGAATTTGACTTCTCACCCTCTCTCCTCGCTGCTGCTAATTCCTCCAACACCACAGCCACTGCCAGCTTTGTGTGAGGAACGACCCATGCTTTTTGGGTGTGAATCCTATATTGGTTTCAGTCTGTGGCCTCAATGTTGGCCTGTGCTTGTGGAAGAGAACTTGTATATAAAATGCAGCCTTCAGAAAGAGGTGTGTTTGCAAAGGCTCTGCCCTCTGAAGGAGAGCTGATTTTAGCCTGACATGGAACTGTCAGTATTTCATGCCTTGTTCTGATTTCCTGCTACTGTGCTAACAAATCCTGATTTGTAGCCATGAAAAATTATCACAGGATTGTCTTGTTGAAAGCAATCGACCCTGTCAGTTTATCAGTTCCCAGCAGTGAGTGCAAGATCCTGTTCTTTGACCCTTCTCTCAGCTCTTTTGTTGAGAGATGTTCACCAGTCGCCATTGGAAGGAGTGCAAAATATGTAATTAATGCACTGTTCAGAGGTGACAGAGCACAGCAGAAAGTCTGCTGTTGCTCATGAAATGAATGCAGAGCACTTCCTCATCTTTCTTTCCTGCCTCTATTACTCAACCCACAGGCTGCTGTAGGATGGCATTTTACTTTTTGGGCTCAAAACATGACAGTGTGTATTGTGTCTCTTAACGGCCACGGAAGGAGTGATGGGGTGAGTGGTCCTGGCTTGCTCTGTGCTGCTTGTGAAGCCAGAATTAGGATGCCACAAGAGGCAACAGGAGGATAGTGGGTATCAGAAGCTGCTTTTGAAGAAGAATGGGTATGCGAGGAGTCCCCCGCTAAACATCTGCTTCAGAACTACACTCAGGGACCAGCTAGACAGAAATTGTGGCTTTTTTCAGTTTCATAAGGAGTCATAAAAGCAGCTAGTTTAAATCAAGAGAGTTTGGAGTGTTGGGTTTAGTAATATCAAAGTAAGAAACAACGCTTTTCTTGTCTAAGAGGAAAGGGATCACTGTTTTTTGGAGAATCATAGAATCGTAGTTACTACTGTGATAATTTTTTGTGGCTGGAAATCAGCATTTCTTAGCACAGCAGAAGGGAATCAGAATAGGGCATGGAATAATGACAGTTGCAAGAATACGAGTACTGACTCTCTATCACATCACAATAGGATTCGCGTTAGAAGTTGCTGAGAACAGAAGCTATTGGTTTTAGCTGAGCAGCTTAGTGGGTTCCATCTCTAGAGATCCCTTCCAAGCCCTGCAGTTCTGTGATTTGGGGCTGTTAATGTGCTCAATTGGAACCACTGATGTGCCAGTGATTTGACGTACTCATCTTCTATTCCAAGCCTGTGGGTGGTGGCAGGGCTGGGCTAATCCTATCGGGTTGAGACCTGATTCTTCCTCCCCTCCTGGAGTGGCTCTCCCAAGTTCTCATACCGATTGTGCTGTTTGGATGTGAACAATGCAGGGCACGCTGAAGGTCTCAATATCTTAGCCATCTGACTGGAAGTGTGCACAGCCTCCTTCCTGCAGGAATGTGGGACTCAGCTGGAATGCCTACATAAGCCTTGTTTATCAGGAAGAGGCTTTGTGATCTGCTGTAGCAGGAAACTGACAGTGCTGACCTCAAAGCATGTTAGTCATCTGATGCTGTAAAGGTTAGTGTTGCCTGGGAGAATTGTCCTGTTTCTTGAAGGTGTCAGCGGCGAAGATCAAGTGTGGGGGATTCAGGCAGCATTGTTGATACAGTTAGTACAGGGACAGGCATATGTGGAATGTAAAGGCAGTACTGCAGATCTTGAGCATAGTGCATCAAGTTGTCTGCACTACGGCTGGGACTCTGAATGTGACTGTGACCCTTCAGTCAATACAGAACTGAAAGTGTTCAGAAGGTGTTAAGCTGGCATTGAACAGTGGCAGAGGACTTGATATTGTCATTCTCCACTTTCTGAATTTCTGCCTTGGTATAATCCCAACAAATGGTTATCCATCTGCTGGCTTACCTGATAATTATAGTCCTGCATGCATTCTTTAGAGATCAAAGCTGGTGTTGGCATGAGTAAAGACAATCTGCTCTCCTTTCTAAAGCTGTTGTATCAATATTGAAAAGATATGATAAGCATAAATTTCCTTAGTATTTTATGAGCAAGGTCTTGAAGAAGGAGATTTTTGAGGTAGCAAAAACTATGAGATTGTGTGGAAGATGTTTTGTTTACCATTTTGGTGTCCATTGACTTTGTGCAGAGCAATTTACTGCAGCTGGGAGGTGTCTAGGCTGACAGGGACTGCAAATTTGAGGCTGAGACCAAGTGTCTTATCTCACCCTTGATGGTGAGAGGTAATAGATTAAACTGCTGAGTGATGAACCAGAAAGAAGAGCAAAAGGAGGCTGGGAATCCATGAGTGGAACTGCATGGGTTTGTTGGGATTCAGCGCAGCTCTCTGTAGGCTGGTATCTGTTAATGACAGATGGCAATGTCAGTACAAAAACGTACATTTTTCAGCAGATCTGGTGGCTTCTCATGAGATGGAATAGAGGTCTCTGGTTCTGGGGCTGTCTGTAGTCTTCAGAATTGAATCCAAATTCGGATTTTGAAATGCTAGAGTTGGCCACAGTCCACTTCATTTCTGTAATAGCTGAAAGCATTTCTTGTTAATTGGCATAATTTTAACTGAATCACAATAATTTAGGCTGCAAAGGACATCAGGAGGGCATCTGGTATAGCCATGTGCTCACAGTGCAAATAACTGCACTTTTACAGTCCCAAGGTGGACAAAAAAATTCATTTCAGACAAAGCAAATGGGATCAGTTTCCTTCAGCCTGCAGTATGACAGCACTGAGCTGTGTGCAATCTGTATTTATAGTGGGGAAGATTTAGTCAGTCTTAAGAGTGGGTGTTGTTATTATGAGAGATGTCAGAATGCCTGTCTAGCTGTTAGCTTTGGGATGTTGAACCAGACTTGGTTCTCTTCCCTGTGGCGTGGACAGGATTATTAATCATGCTCGCAGTGCTAATGATACGCTCACACGACACGAGTGACACTAGGGCTGGAGCTTGGCAAGTGGTAAGTTGTCTGGGTGTGGTGTGAGCAGAAAGTAGCAGCAGCACATTGGCTGCATCTCTGGTGTACAAAAGGGACTTTGCATTCAGTTAACAGGGCCAAGGCTTAGAAAATGCCATCTTTCATATGTAAATTAATTGTACTTTATTTAAAAAAAAAAAAAACATGTTCTGCTCCTTATGAAAACACTTCTTAAGGGAGGATTTCATCTTAACCTGAAAGTAGCTGAAACAGATGGGTAGGCTCTTCCTGTAGAAGACATATTAGTAAACAAATAACGCAGGGAGGATTTATCTCCTCGACATATTTCCTTTTCTCCTGCTGCCTTCCCCTTGTTCAGGCTCTTAGTATCTCTGTGGCAATTCTGAAAGATCTAGAAATAAAAAAAAAAAATCTATCTATCCAGCCATATGTTAGTCCTGCTTTTAAAACAGCTTTTAATCTGCAGTCATGCTGAGAAGCCCATTCCTTGGTTTGTATTTGGAGCAGGATCTCTGACCTGTTCTATCCTTCTCCTGCTCCTTGCAGGCTCTTTCTGCACACATCTCACAGGTGTGCACAGCCTTGTCACTTGGCGTGGTATTCACCTCAGTGTGTTGGTGTCTGTAACCTCCTTTCATTTGAGAAGTCATCCTTGTTTCCCTTTATACTTAGAGATGCCCAGAAGACAGTTGAGCTGATCAGATGATGACATGCTGCAGTAGGTCAACCTGCACTCTGAATGCCTTTGCTTAAGTCTGCACTGATTGTGGAAGAAGGGATTCAGGGTGATTTTCTCATATGCGGAGGTTTGTGTAGCAAATCCTTGTGTTTGGTGATGGCTGTGGCTCTGTTCATCTCTAGCCAGGTTGCTCAGTTCCCATGCTCTTGTCACAGTAAATACACTGCCTCAGCCTCTGTTGTCCTGTGGTGGTCATTCCCAGGAGGGGGATTAACTCACCCCTGCTAGCCACAGCTCTGCAGTACACACAGAGGTAGTCAGCAGCACATGACTACTGATTTCCTTGATTCAGCTGCTTGGACTACAGCACCCAATGGAATCACACTGAGGTTTTTCTCTGTCAGTACTGCCTTTCAAAACTGCTAACAGCAAACAGAATGGTGTAAGCAGAGAACAGAGTTCTAGCTGACAATCTGTCATCAGTAGCATCCTGCTCTTAAGCTGGGCTGATGGTCGCTGCTTTAAATATGCCTGCATTTCCCCCAAGAACATGAAATTCTGATACGTGAGTGCAGGTATGTGTCTAATTAACTTCACTGTGCAGCAAAACCAGTTGAACAGCGTGTTTATAGAAACTGTCCTTAAGAGCGATTGCCTCTTGAAGGAGCATAACTCATATAAGAGGAGTGGGACTGTCTCCAGCCAGCCTGGGAGACGATGCTGAGAGCATATTGAAAAGCTGTCTTCAGCAGAAGCTTGCCAGTTTAACAACTCCGCTCACTGTTCCTATTGCACAGTGGGCTCTTTGACGCAACAGAAAGAGCTGCTTTTTTTTTTTTCCGTTTCCTCTTAAATCCGCCTGGCCAATTTAAACCTTGTGGATATTTCTTCCCCCTCGGGAAAAGCTTATGTGAGGATTTTCTTTTTTTAACAGTTCATTCCGTGAAACCATTTTTTAAAATTGTTTGCTGTTAGAAAATGTTGGAGCTGAACACAAGGCTTTCATTGCAGGTCAGTGAATGAACTCTTGACCAAAGCATTTAACGCTTGAGTGTAGCTTTAGGAAGCACTGTCCTTCTGGAGGAAAAAGCAAGTTAGCAAGGTTGTATCATTTGAGCCCCTGTGTGCTTACACCAGGAGTAGGAATCTTTTCAGGTCTTTCGTGGCTGAGTTCTGTGCAGATGAGTTTGCTGTCCTTACCCTGTAGACAAGTATTTGATTATTTTGCTGAAGATAGTAAGGTCACATCACAGTTATGTCTATATAGTTTAATTATTGATTCTCTACTCTTCAAAATGCAATAAACCTTACTGGCAGTTTCAAATATCAAGTTCTTTGCTCTTTTATTTTGAAAGGATTTTTTTTTTTTTTTTTTGGTGGTGGTGATTTTTTTTTTTTTTTGAACTTATTTTCAGCTTGCTTTACTGGGCAGCGTGCTGCCCCCTGAGCACGTGCTGTTTGCAGGGAAGATAGTTACTTATTTTGTATTTCTTCTTAGGTCGCTATCGAGAGAACTAGGAAAGGATGTAGACGTGGTGTTGATGTTTCTCTTCAGGCTGTGTCTGAGGTAAGACAATCCTCTTTCCCTATCTCTGAAATTAGAATATGAAGCAGAAGCAGTGTTTCTTTCACGTGTAGTTGCTAAATTTATCCGATTGCTCTTTATTTTCCTTGTTGATATAATATGAATATTTTTCACTGAATGGTTTATTGTCTGTGATGCTTACAACCCTGTATTATTTCATCAGTACCAATTATGTGTATGTCTGTGTTTTTTATTAGCTGGTGTACCCTAGATTAATGATGTATCGTTCTGGTAATTGCTTTGGTTTTCTCCTCTAATATTACCCCATTAAGTCTGTAAGTGAGTGGGTTTCTTTCCTTGGGCAGGCAATTGTTACACAAACTTCACTAAACTGAGTTAGAAATGATTTCCACCGTGAATCACTTTCCTTGTAAGCTGATGACTTTTATGGTAATGTTTAACTTAGGCAGAATTGTTTTCAAATCCGCAATGCACTATTGATGTATTCTTTTTTTTAACAGTACTTTAAAAAAATTAGGAAAGTATTGATTCCTGTCATGTTTTTTCCTTGTCTACTAAATGCTGCCTGTTATGGGAAGTTTATCACTCTACAATGTTAAATTGCTATTATAATCAGTTCAGCTGAAAGGTGTCACTGCATCATTGGCCATTTGCAGCAGCCCTGAAAATGCAATGTTGTATGGGATACTGCTGTTTGTGACTTCTAATTAGTGTCTGGAGAATTAGAAAATACTGCCACTTGTTTGTTTCTTTTCAAGCCATTTCAGATGTTGCCATTCAGGGAAGATTAATTCTTCTTCCTGTTCTGTAGGATGGGTACAATTGTTATGATTCATTGCATTTTAAATCAATTTGCTTGAATCTTTGTGGCATCTCTTAAAAGGGACAGCATTTTTTAAGGCAGACAATACTATACTGCAATTACAGGAAACTTTTTTCATTTAGAAAATCATTCTAAACTTTGGCTTTTCACATCTCTGAAACTTTGGTTGTTTGAATTCCAAATAGTGTTGGCTTCACTTTGGAGATCTGTTTCAGTGGTTTGTCAGGAGGCTTTTCACATAAGATGGGATACGGAATCATAAGGGGTGGAGTTATAGAGCTACAGTGACCTATTCTTAATCTTAAAATAATAACACTTCAAGCATTTATAATTTTCTCAACTGGATAAATTCATTCAAAGGTGGTGTCAAGACCCGTTGAAGTTCAACTTTATTCAGTCAGCATCACACCAGATATTAGCGTTTTCTGACATCTGTTTTTGGGAGTTAGAAATCCTGCCACAATGTGAACACATAATTTAGGTCTGGAACCCATTTGCCAGTATTATAAAGTTTATTTGCTGCAACTGAAGCTATTTCAAATTGACTTTGCCTTAAAAACTATAAAATGAAGCAATGCAGTAAAATGATGCTGTATTATAGAGTGCATTTTCTGAATCCTCCGTCAATGAATTAGATGGCATCTGGATTTTATCTGTATGTTTTGGGCATTGCTCTGCCAGAACAGATTTGTGGGGAAGAAGGAGACCTGATGTTGTCTTGTTGTGTTTCTTGAGATCTTTGAGGCAGGAGGACATGCTGTGGTATCTTACTGAATTGCATGCTTTTTGCTTACCACTAGGCACCAAAAGATATTTGTTCCTCCTGATGTGTGATGCCAGTGTTTGCCTAGACAGTGTAGCAGAGCTTGCAGCTTGGTGTATTTCCCCTTGCATGCCCTGTGCCATCGTCATCTGGCCACTTGTTTTATTATCCTAGTGACATGGTCTGTCACTTTCTCTTGCAGAAAGTGGAACTGTCTTTACTAGCAGAGTGGTCAGAGAGGAATATCATGCAAAGAGGTGAAGGGAAGTGGAGAAACACTCCATTCTGAGAATGTTACAGGTAGAGGTACATGAGACAGAGGGCTGTTGAAAGTAGCACAGAGCTACGTGTTGCTGTTTAGTTAGACTTGTTGAGCACGAACTAAACAGTTTAAGGACCAGTGAATAGATGGCAATGCATGTGTTGCACGTGTGGTAAGTTAGCTTCTCCTTTATCAGGGTGTAAATATTGATGAAGACTATCTTGTGTGCGTTTTAGACTGGTTGTGTGAATGCAGCCTCTGTGAGGGCCTCTCAGCACTGTTATAATATTACTAATAATGAGACATGTCTGAAGTCATGTCTTGGTCTGAAGAGAGGCCTTTGGCAGCATGCCATGCTGCTGGAGGGCCTGCCTGAACTCCAGTGGTTTTGCTTATTCATGCAATTGAGTGGGACCCTTTCATTGCATCTTGATTGCATTTAGGCTCAAGAATAAAGACTGAGATAAAAAAAAAATACCCTGAACGTTTCCACAGCCTCTGGGGAGCTTAAAGAACTCAGTGACAGTTATCAGCATCTGCTTCAAGAAATACCATGAGCCTATTTATCAAGCTGAAAAAAATTTTATTTGTTGTGTTGTGTGGTATCTCAGCTTCAAAAGAAGCATGAAAAGTTAGGGCTTTAGGAGCGGGTTTCCACTCTTACTGGTTCACTGAGTACTCATTTAAGCTACAGCTGTAGGTAGTAATTGCTGAGGGATTCGTTAGGAAATAGACACAACAACCAGGCACTGTGCTTGGAATTCTTAGTTGTGATATTCTTCATATGGATGCCTGCTGTGAATTTTCTAGCGACTGGTGGGTATGAGGAAAAAAAATCAATCATGAAGTTTTGCAGATTGCTCTTGCTTTTTTTCAGAACTTACTTTGGCCTTTGCTTTGAAGGGCCAGCAGTACAGTCACTTCAAACTGCATTCTAACTACATGGGATGGAGAAGAGGATTGTGAACTGTTTGCATCACCTTCGTAGATTGTCAAAGACAACTCAGGCCACATAGTTCCTTTCCTTTACTAGAATTTATGGAAGAAATGAATGGGCAGTTCTGGAAAATTATTGGTTTTATATCTCTATGTTCCTTATACTGAAAGAAATAAAAAGCAATAACTTCTTTTTTTTTTTTTTTTTTTTTTTTTTTTCAGTCACTAGCTCAGTTTCTTCATCTTAAAACAGTTGTTTGGATTCTATTTTCTGGTTCATCATTGATGGGTTTATGTATTTAAGCTTGACTGTATGCTAACTTGGTTCCATGCCAAGCCATGAAAGCCAGTGAGATGAATGTTCATGAGAGCACTGTACATCATTAGCATTGTACATTGTACAAGCAGCATTAAACATGGCACAGATCTTTGACTTGAGTTAAACTCTGAGGTTTTCTGCAGAACCACAGAAGGTATCTGGCCATTCAGCCGCTTAATTGATGGCTTGCTTCCTGCTCAAAAGAAGGCCTTACGGAGGTGGAGGTAGGAAAGTAGTAGGAACAGCTGGACTGCATGGAAAAACTTGAGCATCCAAGTAAGCTGCTTTATACTAGTGACCTCCATCAGCTAGGCAAGAAGATAAGGTGTGGGGGGGAATCAGTAGGAAAAGGTTTTCATCTTTGTTAGCAAGTAGATAGGGAGAACTTTGATTTCCAAGTGTGTACCTGGGCTTCCTTTGTTTAGGTGAGTAGTTGTAGTCTTCACATTGACTTGATAACAGGTAGATATAAACCAGCTATTTGGGTGTGGGCATCACCCTGCTATTCATAAATAAAAGAATAGCCGAGGGCTGACAAGAAATGTTATGGAAGAGAAATCCTGAGGAGAGAAGAAAGCAGTTTTTTCCTTTTTCCTCTCCACTGTGTGACTGAAAGTGGTCCTGTGAATTACTGGCAAGATGATGTGGAACAATATGCACTCCAGCAACCTTGGAACAGTATGCGAAGACTCCTGGGAACTGTTTCTACTGGAAAAGGTTGAGGCAGCAATTGGCTTCTGGCTTGGTATTTCTGAGAAGTTTTTTTTTTTTTAGTTTTTTTTTTTAGTTTTTTTTTTTTTTTTTAAATTAAAGCTATAAATAGTTGTCAGTTCTTCAACTGAATAATCCTGTTCTCTTTTTCTCCAGGGTGAGAAACTGAATCTAGATTTCCAAAGCCAAAAGCCTGCCTCCAATATCGGTGTTAATCATCTGTCTGTAACGTTGCTCAGGTTTTGAGGGAATGCTCTTACGGTTTTGTTGTATGTAGTGGGATGACTTAACAGGGCCTGTGCAGAAGGCCACTGGATTCTGATTAAATACAGTAAGGGCTCCTGACCACATGCACTAATGCAGGTGTCTTCAGTGGCTTTTGCATTACTCAGCCCAGCCCTAGCTCTGGTGGTTGCTGGTTTGTGTTTCACTCTCATAGTTTGCTGAGATGCAAATGGTGAAAGGTAAGGTACTGCATCTCCTATACTGCCATTTCTTGCTACAGACTGCTGCTGTCACTATATCTGGGACTATGTGATATGGAGTGTTCAGTCCTGAAGGTGTTAATTTTTTTTTTTTTTTAAATCCTTACTTAACTCACAGCATGTGTGTTTCTCTGTGAACCTATATTGGAAAAGATAGCTGTGGTAGTGCTGGCCGTGGTGATCATAACTGAAGTAGCATTACGTGTGCCAGAAATCAATGCTAATCAATCAGTGTTGGAATAAAGGATGCATTGTTAGTGCGTTTTGAAGGATGCATTGTTAGTGCTTTTGTTCTGACTTGTTATTATTGCAGTTACGCAGTCCCTGCTAGGGCTGTTAGGTTTTAACTCATCTAGTTCAGACAGTGTCATCCTTCTCTCAGAACATGGCTTTCTGTACTTGGGATCTTTGCCTTTCTTTATCCTACAACTAGCGTATTCATTAATATTTACAGTGAACATACAGGTACTGACATCCTTCACAGTGGGAAGCTTTGAGCTGTATGGATTTGGAAAAGAGAGGTTTTACTCTGGCATGTGAAACAGTCTTTCCTGTGTGTGCTTTTAATGTAGAACCTGTACATAAGAAAAGCACTGCTTTTCAGTTAGATTAGCCTGAAAATAGAAGTAACGGTTTTGAAGCACACTTTTTACAGGGAACTTTTTTTCTGTGAGAAAGCGAAGCCTCTCGAGCTCAGGCAAGAGATTTTGAATTAACTTTGG